CAGAAGGACACTTTTTTTTTAAAGACTTTCTGTGAGACTTTTGTATATTATCCAAACATGCATGAACTCCATGGCCCGATTTCATGGCTCTTACCGTTAGTGGAAACTGGAAAGTCCCTGCTTACTGTAGCAGTAGCAGAAAATTCTGTGCTTATGGTAAGCATATTTCATAGGTTAGCAAGGAATTCTAGCTTCTTCGCATGCATACATACATCCCGTAACTAAGGATTCTGTGCTTACAGGGTTAGCACGGGATGTTTTTGCTAGCGCAGTTAGCACAACATGGTGATCGTAAGCACGGCATTTTGTGGTTTAGCAGAGCCATGAAATTGGGTCCCGATCTTTGATGTCATATTCGACATGTAGCATACATCATGTACATGTACATGTATACATGCACCTTTTTATCTCCTATTTACATGTACTGCACGAAATTTGAAATGCAAGTACTGTTCGCTATTTAAGCAAATGAGCCGAGGGCAGGAATACTGACGCCAGATTTTTAACCATCTGACAACTGTTACCTTCAAAAACATCTGTGTCTCTTTAACTTCCTGTTCCAATCTGTTCTTCTCTGCAGCCTTACGGTGCAGATATGCAAATAACCAAATTGCCCTAACAAGTTTTTATCTTTCAATATTCTGAGTAAGAATACTTATAATAGAACATAAATGTGAGCGTTCTGGCAAAATGAGACAGAACTGGGCAGAGGTAAAAATGAGGGTTTGCAGGTACCGGTACATGCATCAGAAACGAGAATAAAATTCAACTTACAATACTGTTTGTTGTAGGCCTACTACAATCGGACATTCTGTTGACAAGTTACGGCTGTTTAAAGTTGTCAAAAAAGTAAAATACTGAGAAAAAGGTTATAGTTTTGAGTTTTGCAGACATGAAAATGAAATTAAAGGGAATGTACATCATTGGCTTTTGCTGTAATTTTCAGAAATGAACTATTTTGAGGGGTTCATCAAATATTGTTAAATTGACTTGTTTAAAGTTTTGTGTTCGAAAATGCTGGAAAAAAACAAGAAAAACAAACATAATCAAGTAGTCTGGTTCCCTGACTCCACTAAAGATGAAATGGATCAATTTATAGATGCCGGAAAATTGTAAGGTAATGGAACCAGTCTAACTGGCCTGCACCCGTTCATGAACATGTAACGAATAGCAAACAAAATTTGGACTGAAAAAAAGGTACATTTGGAGCAGTAGTTGAAAAATAGTTTGGTTTTTCCAACGGTGGTCGGCCGACCACAGTTGGAAATTTATAGAAAATACCACTTTTCTTGAAAATGACTTCACACCTGGTGCCATAATTTTACAGGATGCTTTAGACTGTCATTTACCAACATCCTAGTAAGGTTTTTCGTAAAAAATCGGTAGTTTTGTTTTTCGATGTTAAATATATGTAGTAGACCTATCAAGATTATAAATATAGTCTTTAAATTTGAAAATCAAAAAAAAAAAAAATCAACCCATTTCGGGTTTTTTTTTCTTTTCATTTTTCTCCACTATAGCCTGTGTCCAGTTCCGTTTCATAATATTGCCAGAATGCCTCACATATTTGCTAAGTAATATTCTCTGCTTAGCAGCTGCAAGAAATTGATCCCGGCACAGTGCAAACACCGGGACTGACAGTCTGCTAAATGTCAGGAGTACTGTGCAACCTTTTCTCTCTTTGATTAATTTGTCTTAGTAGGGCTGCAGGAAGATTATTTTATGATTGAGATGCATGGGAGTTAATGGCAATACGCTCCCTGTTCCTTGACCTACTGGGCAGAGCAGCACTGCTGATAGCCATTTTAAACAAACAGTCTTGTCTGTCAGCAGTAAACCTCTCAAAACAAAAATCAAATTCGAAGGACTCTTTTTCTCAAGCGTTTCTACAAAGCAGGAGCTACATGTACCTGTATCGTTGCAGGCACAAAGTTTGCACAAGTATGAATGAACGAAAGGGCATACATGTACATTACATAATGATACATTTTTGGCTTCTGAAAAGAAAAGCAGCTGAAACAAAGTACCTCCATGTACATGTATGCAATGTACCTCCTTGTTGAAATGGAAAAGTTTTAAGACTTATTCATAAATATTTGAGACAGTTTACCAATTCCTATTGGTCGAGAGCACATCACATACATGTAGGTGGTTTTAAACCGCTGGTAAAACACCGCTGCGTTCTGCGCCACATCGCACAGTACACGCCGTACGCACCAATTTCCATATACATCTAAGGAGATTTTTAGCACTGCACGCGAGGCACATACCATCGACACGGCCAGAGGGGTGTTGCACAAAACATGACATATAATAGTTAAACAAAATCATTGGAAATTTGTGAATTTTTGAGTTGTTTCGACTTTTTGAACAGAAGGTATTTATTGTGAATTAATAAGTGCTTGGCCGGTATTAAACAAGTATCTTTAAAACCGGCTCGGGTCCTGGATGCAGATAATGCCCGAGCCTTCCGCGTCCAGGCTGCTAGCTGGTTTATAAACATAGGCCTACTTGTTTAAAGGGAAGATACAACATTTGCAAACATCACAAAACGAAATGATCAAATAATCACGAAAAACCTCACTAGATTGTTAGGGAATGACAGTGTAAAGCATCTTGTAAAATTGTGACTCCTGGTGTGCTGTCATTTTCAAGAAAAATGGTATTTTTCCAATGCTGGTCGGCCGACCAGCGTTGGAGAAAACTGGCTTTTTTCAAAAACTGCTCCTAATTTTTTTCATATTTAGTTATTCCGCATTTTCTTTGCAATTGTTTACACACCTGTGAAGGGGTACAAGCCTGCTAAGACTGATTCTCTGACCTTACAATTTCCCAAAGTCATGATTGCTCCGTTTCATCTAAAGTGGGTCAGGGAACCAGACTACAAGAATACGATTGGTTTTCATGGTTTTTCCAAGCATCTACAAGCCCAAAACGTGAAACAAGTCATTTCAAAATTATTTGCTATAACATATTAATCCTCCAAATCCATCTATTTCCAAAAATTGCAGCAAAAGCAAATGTTGTACATTCCCTTTAATACTGGCCAAGCACATATTTATTCCCTTATTTGGATGTTTGCTTGACAACAACAAACGAGTATAGGTTTACTCTTACTGTGGTGGATACATACAATGTACACCTTCCATCTGCTTGCTGCTAAGCAACACGATGCTTCTTCCTATCACCCGTTCTTCTCCACCCTCCCTTTCCCCCTCCCACTTTACTCTCAGGGGTGTGTAGACTACTCAGGACCCCATCTGGTTGTCATCTCCACAAGCAACAATTTACCTCAATCCCAATCAGGCAACAGCTTCTTACATCCTTAAGGAGAAAGCGCTGAAAGGATGGATTAACTTCCTACCTCATCAAAGATGAATTTGTTTACGTCTCCTGCAACATGAGCAGCAAACACTCACAAAACAGGAGTACAATTTTCTTCGGCCCCTGAACTGTCTTTCCAGGAGATGTGACTTTCACCATCACCAAAAAGTGCAAACATCGCCACTGATCTTTTTTTTCCCCTTTTCTTTCTCCACTTTTCAATAAATAATGTCTTTCACAAAGAACTGAGAGACCAATCCAGGGGCCAGGTGACGTTAGTGGTCCACTGCCTATCTTCTTACATTGTACATGCACCTGGCTTTCACTTTCAGCTGGACATTTCAGAAAGTATGTAGCCCAAGACCATTCAATGTTCAAAGATTGCGATTAGATTGACAGGTTCAACTCTGAAGTACAACGACAAACTGCGAACACTGTAACGTACGGCCAGCGATCATTCTCATATACAGCTCCCAAACTCTGAAACCGGCTTCCAACTCATTTCAGAAATGCCAAATCACTGGAACTGTTCAAGACTCTACTCAAAACCCATCTGCTTATCCTTTGACTTTGAACATTTCTACAGCCAACCATTCTCGTCAATTTGTGTTGGTTTTTGTTTACATATGCCGTGTTTTTGTGTATTACTTATAATTTTAAAGATTTACTCTTATTGTACATGTTATTATGCCTGTACAGCGCATTGGGGTCTTATTGACGGAATGCGCTTTACAAGAATGGTTTATTATTATTATTATACATGTAAGTACAAACACCATGTTCTTAGTAAAATTCATTTGAGAACCAGTTAAAAGCAGTAGACAACCTGCGACATTCAACTTGGTAACCTGCCTTTGCTCAGCAAATAATTTCTTGCTATTCAACAGATATTCCGTAATTAGCATCTCCGTGTAACTGGGTCCCAGATTCGAAGGTCGGGTGCCTGAAAATCTCTTTTCCACTTGTGACTGACTTTCAAAGATTGCATCCCAAGCGCAAGACTTTTCCAGAGAAATGTACACATGGCACATGTACTTGTGTCGTTGATGTACGAAATGTATACATGTATACACGTATAATGTGTTGAATCAGATCACTGGCACGCCAGGACCCATGGGGTTCAATTGAGCTCAAAAGTGCTGCCATGCGAGGCAGAAGAAGCATCGGCGATAACCACAGAGGGGGGATCATCCCATAGATGACAGGGATCCCTGTTGCCCCGGCAATGGTAACCATGACAGCAGCTCGCCGGTCCGGTACCGGGTGACCCTGATTGCTGGCGTCACGCGGGGCCGGGACAGCGGTGCAAACCCTGACCTACATTGTGCTTGTTCGTGTTGGACTGACATAATGCATATTCATAATGACAGGACAGGACAGAAATGGAAAATTGATTTCCAAAACTTGTGAAAAAAAAAAAATTGGCCATTCAGTCCAAACCCTCTAAAACAGATTTGAATGTAACTGTTTTCTTTCACCTTGCAATTTTCCTGTTAACTAGTACTTTTATTCTAAAGTTCTCTTTGGAAAAAATGTTGCAAAATGACGCCACTTTTTTTCCTCATATATCATCACAATAAAGGTCAGTCATTGCAAAAATGTTGAAAAGACATGAATCTGGGACTGAGAAACATTTCCAATTTAGTTAAAAAATACTTAGAAAATTGTCTTGACTCTCCATAGACTTTGTACACAACAGCTTCTACCCCAAAGACCCACTAGCCCCAACTCCTTAAGTGCAATCTAAAATATAAAGCTTTTGTTAAATTTGGTCTCACATGTATATGGTCTTTATTAAAAGCACTGTAAAATGTCTATGTTATCTCAAGATGCACAATTACATGTAATTTACACAAGAGTTGTGCACCGAGAGAAAGCTGCATTTTACACCGAGTTTACGTAAGATGATCAAATTTTCCGATGAAAAGTCTATTCCGAGCACACTAATGAAATCATCTGGTGAACATACCCGGTACCTAAAGGCCAAGGTCTTTCTTTGGAAAGATGCATCACTTAAGAGTAAGATGAAAAGAAGGAAAAAACAAACTCTGTACACAAAGAGCAAGGTTCATGAGACATGCACAGCCAAGTTCAAGCAAGGATGAATCTGGCAACAGCTTGAACCGCTCTCTTAATACTGCGCTTTCAATTGCAAACCAACGATTATACACGTACGGTATGTTTCGATCACGACATTCCTTTAGATGTTTTATATGTTCTCAGCGTGATTTTGTGTACATGTATTCAGAGTGCGTCACAGTAATCGCCATCTTTATTTTCGTGTTGTCGTCTTCACCGTCGTTTTACCCCCAAACTTTAGCTCAAAAAAATCCAAACCCTGCCCTCTATCTACAAAACTCCTGTTGGTTATACATGTAAATGTGGCTAACTAGTTTTGTGAGTCCAATAAATTAAAAGTGGATTTCTGTTCTCTTATAGCAACAGGGCCCGTTACTTTACAATCGCCCACATTCCTTACCCTATGGATGTTTTGCTCGTTCCCCGAGGGACACATTCTAATCTGCATTTCCTCGGCATTTCTGGAATTAATTTCACCAACGTAAAACAATGGTCATTTCAATTAGTTCACTTACCTTGGGTGCAATGCCTTTGCGGACGTCATTGATTTGAGAAAGCTCCAACCCTTGGCCTTCCTATAAGAAGAAAAAAATAATACACATAATTTTAAGAACTCTGGAAAAACGTGTTCGTTATTATTTTCAGCAGCCTAAAGTAAATTTGGAGAAGTAATAGTGCACACAGTGTGAAGCGACCAACTCTTCAAGATTAGCGGTTGCGAGAAGAACCAACAGTGTCAACTTGACATTCCAATGACTGTCACAGTGTGCTCTGAGTCTGACAATCATGAGAATACCTAAATTCAAGGGAGGTACATGTAACAGTCGCAAAGAAATGTGTAATTGTACAACAGTCCATCAACATCAGATCCAGAACCAGATTGTTAAAGGGGGGGAGGGGAGTTTAGGAGCATGAAGACGGTGGTGCACCAACTAGGATTTGTCATTAGAGGTTTAGACTTGCCTGCCATTGTAAAAAGGAAAAGGGTAGGGGGACCTTTAATTTGATGCTAGGGGCCTCTCTTTTCCTAATTATTCTATTCGTTATTTCAATTAAATTTTCAGAAATCCCCGGAGGGAAAGGGAAGAGTTGACAAGCGTACTGATTTTAAGAAGTTGTTTTCACTACTTTTCTAGTAAATAAGACCCCCCCCAAAAAAGTCTCGCCCCAGAAGTGGTGCGGCGACGCTTTTTTCCCCCCCCCCCCCCTTCAAATGGCGGCTGATTGACTGCAAATGGTGCCCGACTAATTTTTTTTCTTCTTTTTTTTCCTTCAAATGTCGGCTGATGACTGCAAATGGTGCCCGACTAAATTTAGTGCAAAATGTATGGGAGCCCAGAGAGGCCACATAAAGCTTATACCCGATCGTAACCCCATCTAAAAACACGTTTAAAAAACACGTGTTTTTTTATTTTGCCAACGCGCATGGCTACGGCGATGCGCCCGCATACCAGAAACCGGAGACTTTTTTTGTGGCCTAATAAAAACAAAAATCAATTTTATTTTTTAAAATGTCCCCTGTGGGACCCCAATGTGGGCCCAGCCACAACCCCCCCCCCCCCCCCAAAGATCCACCAGTGGAACAGTCAGATCTTGTGCTCTGAAAATTATGACAATAATCTAATTAATAATCTAACCACAATTCTTCCAAGAGATCATCATTACATACCAAATACTACCCTGTCTTTAATATCACAAGAAAAGTTCGTACGGGCTCTTAAGTAAACTCTTTCCCACCATTTAATCTAACCTATAAATTCAATGATTTATAGGAGTCTCTGACTCCAGCAAAAGCAAATCTCTCCCTTAAAAAAATTCCAACCGACACATTTTTTTTTATCTGATTGATGAGAATTCTGTGGTGCATAAACAACAAAATTATCTACAGGCAAAGTATGCAGAGCTAGCATCTCACAGGGGTAAATAATTCTGTGTGATGTATTGAGGTGGGATTAGGTGGGAAGACTTCTACACATCCATCAAGGTTTGACAGTTTCATTTGGAGTTTCAGGAATTCACAACTCATTACTACTCCCAGCCTTAGGGCTGTCCCGAAAATACCCAATATTCGATCATCATTAGGTTCTTACCGGTTCAACTTTTCGAATGAAAAAAAAAAAACAGGTACGTCACGACTCTGGATGTTATTTTCTCCGTACAGTTGCAACAGTTTATTGTCAGAAGTAACTTTTTTGTTGATGACGGTTCGCTGTTCTCATCCTTTTAGCAGGTTAAAGCCCTTGGCAGCCCATTATATCAATCGCTGCATGCAAATTTTATCAGACGCGCTTTAATTGCGTACAACTTTAGTTGCAGCTGGCATGTGTAAACTTGATTGGCGAGTTTCGAATATTCAGCCAAACGAAGTTTCAAATAATCGAACGCTAAGTTATTCGAACATTGACAGCCCCATCCGCTTGACTGTACTCAGTAGCATCCATTTTTTCCCACAAAAAAACCCATAGACTTTGTACACAATTTTGTACACGCCACTTTTGCAATTTATCAATGTTATACATCATTCAAATTAAGCATAGGGGGCCTACTGGTATGTGCACTGTCCTTATAGCAAGTTGTGTCCTGAAGAGTGACATCATGATTACGTCATCATGGGTCACGTGACATCATCACAAACGTGCGTATTTTGAAGTCCTTTATCTACAGAACTGTAAGTCCGATTGGGTTGAAACTTGTTATGTAGGTAGGCCGGGATGTGTTATAGGTAAAAATTGAGGTGACATCATGATGACATCATCGTGCTATTTTATATGAATTTTTGACTTTTTGGACCTTTAAGCCATATCTCACAAACGCAACATGCTAAATTCTTTTTGTATTATGTTTGTTAGGTAAGAGCTATGGACACAATTTTGAAAAATGTGTGATGTCACGATGACATCATCGGTTGATTTTTTATGGATTTTTTTTAATATTTAAAATTATATTCTGCTTTAGAAATGTTACACTTCCTTTTATCGGATTGACTTCAAACTTGGCACAAACCAAGACCACAATGACCAGTTGTGCACTGACGTCAAGATGACGTCATTGCAGGGCATGTGACGTCATGTGATAAAGCTTTATTTTTGGAATTATTCTAAGCATTTTGAACAACCTGTATCAATCACTCTAATAAGTGAATGCAAAAGGACAAACATAACGTAAATATTTGTAAAATGCGAAAAAGCCCTATGTTCTGTTCGAACAGACATAGCTCTAGTTTGCTTTGTGACTGTTTTTTATCAGTTAAGCTGTCTGTTTAAGTCATCCTCTTTAATTTGGTGCTGTCTTACATGTAGGTTTGGGTATTCAACATCACAAAATTCCGAATTTCTCACGTTTGTCTTTCCCTGGAATGTACATCGTGAATAATGCAGTACACAGGTATGTACCATATGTAGAACTGAAGTGCATGTTGCACATATCCCATCAAGGATGATTGAGATTAGTTTGAGAATATAGGAAAGGGTAGATTTGCATCAGGATTCAAATAAATATTCATTTGTACATGGAAAACATCTGGTCATTTGCATTGTGCAATGCATCAATTGTTGAGTGTTACAATTCAACACTCCAGATTCAATCAACTTTCAGTGTGACAGAAAAATAAAACTACAATCTTGATAAGGCAATGTTGTACACTGTACATGTTAATAGTTCTTGGAAGTCTGTGCCTGACTTTAAAGCCAGTATGTACACATACATATGTAGATATCTCTGAGTATTCTGACCAAAAGCAGCAAAAGTACACCCCTCCCTCCTTCCTGACCCCCCCCCCTCCCTGACCCCTCCCCAAATCCCTTTACACCCTCCCACAAATTGGATCCAATCTATGCCATTGGAAAAAAATTCAATTGGCAGCGCAGTTTGTCGAATAGAACAGACTTCTAATTAATTCTTAATTTTTTAATAGGAAAACAAGTTATTGATATAGTATGCATATCATAATAATTTACATTCTAAGTGCGCTGTTCCATGACCAGCTCCATGATAATTTGCATAATTGAGTACCTGCAGAAATGGTGACCTTACAACAGTTCAAGTTTACCAAGGAAATGGATATTGATAAAAATGAGGGAGATGGAATATTGCTAATTTTTTTTTTATGAGTTGATTAATTTGACTTAGACAAAAATACCTCCTTGTTGCTAATTGTATATCATGTACCGCTATCACATGACAAAAAAATCAAACGTGTTTTCATGAACACTGTTTTAATTTGTTCCATACTTTCCCAGTGTTTTGAAATTCAGATTTCATTTTTTTCAGCTCCGCCGTGCGATTGAATTTGATAATACATCAGTATGATAAACTGCTGCATCTTATCTGAGTGAAGTCCCCATTGTTCAAGATTCCCAGGATGTGATCACTAGCTGCAATACATGAACAATGTCATTTAATGACTTCTGACATAAGCCGTCCCCCCTCCCACTCCCCACACCCCTCCCCACACCCCTCCCCCCCCCTTCCCCCCTTCCCCCTTCCCCCCCCCAAAAAAAACCCCCAAATTACACCTTGGCAAACCACTGCAGCATTTGGGCTTGACAGCCAAGTTGGTAGACCAACAGTTTTTGGCCCATCTTCCCCTAAAAAGCTACATTTTCTCTGTCCCATTTTCTAGTCAGAAGACCTGTGGCAAAGATGCATGCATTCTGAAAAATGATGTTGATTGCAATTTCTGATAAATTTTCAAAAGAGAGACAGGCAATGCCAGCATTAGGCCAAAAAAAAGCGTCTGCTGTTTCTGGTATGCGCGCGTCACCGTAGCCATGCACGTCGGCAAAATGAAAAAGGTTTTTTTTTCAATGTAAGATGATGTCTCAAAACCGCCAAACTCACTGGTTTGACTGGAATTCTGCTGCTGCACAATTTTAACGTGTTTTTAGATGGGGTTACGATCGAGTATAAGCTTTATGTAGCCTCTCTGGACTCCCATATATTTGCACTAAATTTAGTCTAGCACCATTTGCAGTCATCAGCCGACATTTGAAGATAAAAAAATTACCAAAAAAAAAAAAGCCGCGTCGCCGCACCACTTTTGGGGCAAGCTCTATACCAGAAACCGGAGACTTTTTTGGGGCCTTATGTAATAAACATGAAAATGTATTTCTCATATATCTTATACATCCATCATCTAATAATATTCGAGGAGATTACAGACTAGAGTTTTAGATCAATTCTGGGAATCATCAATTACATATCATGGTAATTGATTGGCTTATTCATGGGCATTACGCATCCTTTCATAATGCTGGAATTGCCCAGATATACAAAATGTAGAGACTCATAAAAAGACCTTTTTTCTCTCTATTTTCTTTTTCTTTATATATTTCATTTTTTCCCCTTTTTTCAACCTCACCATGACAGTGTTCCCAGTAATTCAAAAACATGAAAGCTCACACAGGTTAATGTGATGAGCTACTGTATATGACCTTTTCTCTGTGTGGAAACAGGGCAAGGAAAAAAATCAATGGAGAATGAATCGCATTATGGAGTCCAGTCGACCGGGCTATGCGCATACATGTAATAATCTGCCAGCTTAGGACAGAGCGAGGATTGAGATCAGTGGGAATTC